CCCCTTTAGGTCCCATTTTATGGGGTCCCCACCCCCATTTTGGGGTCCCCAACCCCTCCACGCCCCATTTTTCGGTGTCCCCACGACGTTTTGGGGTCCCCCCCCTCCTCCCCCAGGTGCGGGACGTGCGCATCATCTCGGACCGCAACTCGCGGCGCTCGAAGGGCATCGCGTACGTGGAGTTCTGCGACATCCAGTCGGTGCCGCTGGCCATCGGGCTGACCGGGCAGCGCCTGCTGGGCGTCCCCATCATCGTCCAGGCCTCCCAGGTGGGCTCGGGGGAAATTCCCGGGATTTTGGGTCGTTTGGGGGGAAATTCCCACGATTTCGGGGGAAATTCCCACGGTTTTAGGGGAAATTCCCACAATATGGGGTGAAATTCCCACGGTTTGGGTGAAATTCCCACAGTTTTAGGCCATTTTGGGGGAAATCCCCAGAATTTTTGGTCAGTTTAGGTGAAATTTTCACAAATTTGGGGGAAATTCCTGGGATTTTGGGTCATTTTGGGTGAAATTTCCGTAATTTTTTGTTAGTTTAGGTGAAATTTCCACAAATTTGGGTGAAATTCCCAGGATTTGGGGTCGTTTTGGGTGAAATTTGCTCAATTTTGGGTGAAATTCCCACGGTTTTGGGTGAAGTTCCCACGGTTTTAGGCTATTTTGAGTGAAAATCCCATAATTTTTGGTCAGTTTAGGTGAAATTCCCACGATTTTGGGTGAAATTCCTGGGATTTTGGGTCATTTTGGGTGAAATTCCCATGGTTTTAGGTCATTTGGGGTGAAATTCCCCCAATTTTGGACGAAATTCCCATGGTTTTAGGTGGTTTGGGGTGAAATTCCCAGAATTTTTGGTCACTTTAGGTGAAATTCCCATGGTTTTGGGCAAAATTCCTGGGATTTGGGGTTGGTTTGGGTGAAATTCTCACAAATTTGGGTGAAATTTCCATGGTTTTAGGACATTTTGGGTGAAATTCCTACAATTTTGGGTGAAATTCCCACAGTTTTAGTTCATTTTGGGGGAAATTCCCAGAATTTTTGGTCAGTTTAGGTGAAATTCCCACGATTTTGGGTGAAATTCCTGGGATTTTGGGTCATTTTGGGTGGAATTCCCACAAATTTGGGTGAAATTCCCACAGTTTTAGTTCATTTTGGGTGAAATTCCCATCATTTTTGGTCACTTTAGGTGAACTTTCCACAAGTTTGGGGGAAATTCCTGGGATTTTAGGTCATTTGGGGGGAAATTTTCACAATTTTGGGGGAAATTCCAACAATTTTGGTCAGTTTAGGTGAAATTCTCACAGATTTGGGTGAAATTCCTGGGATTTGAGGTCAGTTTGGGTGAAATTCCCACGGTTTTAGGTCATTTTGGGTGAAATTCCCAGAATTTTTGGTCAGTTTAGGTGAAATTTCCACAAATTTGGGTGAAATTCCCACAATTTTGGGTCATTTTGGGTGAAATTCCCATGATTTTGGGCTAAATTCCCACGATTTTAGGTCATTTTGGGTGAAATTCCCAGAATTTTTGGTCACTTTAGGTGAAATTCCCACGATTTTGGGCAAAATTCCTGGGATTTTGGGTCACTTTGGGTGAAATTCCCCCAAATTCTGGTGAAATTTTACCAATTTTAGGTCATTTTGGGTGAAATTCCCACAATTTCGGGTGGAATTTGTGGGATTTGGGGACATTTTGGGTGAATTTCTCACAATTTTGGCTCATTTTGGGTGAAATTCCCGGGATTTTGGGTCACTTTAGGTGAAATTCCCACATTTTTGGGGCATTTTGGGTGAAATCCTGGAGATTTTGGGGCTTTCTGGGGCGTTTTGATCAATTTGGGGGGGTTTTTTGGTGCATTTTGCTGGATTTTGGGGCCATTTTTATGGTTTTTGGGTGCGTTTGGGGTTTTTTTTGGTGGATTTTAACGGAGTTTGATGAATTTTGGGTGGATTTGGGGGCACTTTGATGGATTTTGGGTCCATTTTTATCGGTTTTGGGTGCGTTTGGGGGGTTTTTTGGTGGATTTTAACGGATTTTGATGATTTTTGGGTGGTTTTGGGGGCATTTTGAGGGGTTTGGGGTGGTTTTTCGTGCATTTTGGGTGTATTTTTGTGGTTTTTGGGGTGTTTTGGTGCATTTTGATGGATTTTGGGGGCACTTTGATGGATTTTGGGTCCATTTTTATCATTTTTGGGTGCGTTTTGGTGGTTTTTTGGTGGATTTTAATGGATTTTGATGGATTTTAATGGATTTTGGGTGGTTTTGGGGGCATTTTGATGGATTTTAGAGTTTTTTGGTAGGTTTTGATGGGTTCTGGGGGCATTTTGATGGGTCTTGGGTGGTTTTTGGGCACATTTTGGTGGTTTTTGGTGCATTTTGGGTGTATTTTTGTGGGTTTTGGGGTGTTTTGGTGCATTTTGATGGATTTTGGGGGCACTTTGATGGATTTTGGGTCCATTTTAATCGTTTTTGGGTGCGTTTTGGGGGTTTTTTGGTGGAATTTAATGGGTTTTGATGGATTTAGGGAGATTTTGGGTGCATTTTAATGGATTTCAGGCAGCTGTTGACGTTCCCGTTGTGTTTTCCCCCCCCCAGGCCGAGAAGAACCGCCTGGCGGCCATGGCCAACAACCTGCAGAAGGGCAGCGCGGGGCCCATGCGCCTCTACGTGGGCTCCCTGCACTGCAACATCACCAAGGAGATGCTCAGGGGCATCTTCGAGCCCTTCGGGAAGGTATGGGGGGGGCAGGGGTCGTGGGAGTGGGGTCAGGGGTCGTGGGAATGGGGTCAGGGGTCATCTTGGGTCATGGGAATGGGTCAGGGGTCACCTG